CGAAAGAGGGAATATAAGGCAGTGGAAATGTGAAGAGTCCTTTAAAAACGCTGTTGAAAAGGGAGTTATATTTACTCTTCCTGGAAAAGGCATTTCTGCCACTGGGCAATTACAGAAGCAAAATTCTTCCCTCTGGAAGAGCATTAGTTAAACAGAGATTGTATCACTGTTTTGCCAAAATATACATTTTAATAAGATGCCAGATGTAGGAGTTGATGTTTATGAAATTATAAACTGGGTTCCTAGGCAGCCATACAGATTTCTAATACAGGTCTCTATTTACTACTGTGTCACAGAAACTTTTTTTTATTTTCCAGATGAGAGAGTTAGACATGCTTTCAAATCTATCCTGGAATAGTTAAGTTATTGCAGTGCTTACAAACAAAACCATTTCCACACAAAGCAAAAAATGAAAGCAAATTGACTGTGCTCTAAAACCTTACACCCTACATCTCCAAATAATAGTTCCAGATTTTTGAAAAATCTGCCCCTACTGTCGTGCAGATTCTGGCTCTAGATGGCAAATCTTACCTATTTTTTGAGTAATTAGAAAGAGGACAAATCCCTTGCAATTATAGCAGACCTCAAAACCATTTTGAAATGTCCCACTTAGCCTAGGACAGTCAAAATAATCCCAATTCTATTTTCTTTAATTTTCCAAATAATATTTTGAATTATAAAATCCAGAGGAGAATCTCACTCTAGACAAAATACAATGATTCACATGGTCATCCTGTATTTTTATTTGGAGAAAGACTTCTAACAGAAAATTGCATCTTCCTGCCCATTCCTCTAAAACACTGAGAATAGGTGTCATTTGCTTGCTGACTGAGCAATAAGCAACGCTAGCCACACAAATCTGTCCTCAAATCTTATGTCATCTTTGCCTGAAAATGAAGAACTGAAGACAAATAAGGTGAGCAAATCTTACTTCCAAACAGTATAATTCTCTCTGTCTAACTAGTGTTCATCTGTAAGAGGTAACCTTGTCAACAACTGCTCAAAACAGTGTAGGTTGGTGTCCCACATATTAAATTTTAATTTGACAGCACTAGTTTTGATTTTAGAATTATTTTTTTTTTTTCTGTGCAGAAACTGCTACAATCATGATTTGCCACACTTGCCAAGCTGCAGTATCAAATGTGCAGTTCGGGACACAGGCATTTTAATCCACTGTGTACAGGCAATGAGGATACTGCCAAGCAGACCTGGGATAATCCCTATGAGCAGCACTGTTTGTTGCACTGGTGAATGTCTGGGAGGCTTCACCTTCAGCTTTCCTCAGAGCTGTGCTCATCATTTCAGTTGTAAGGCCCATTCAGCTGAGGAAAGTCACTTTTTTAACAAGAGCTATGGGGATATTTTGTGATTCAGTTTGCAACCTAGAGGAGGGCTCTGCCAAGGCCAATGAGTGCCATGCCAACCATCCACATTCAGCTGGGTGCAGACCCAGCAGCTCTGTTAAGTTTACAGCAAAGCAGAATGAGTTCCCCTGAAAGAGGCTGACACAACCTCGATTTTGCCATGCTTACAACCCCTTTAAAAAGCAGTGGGAGGAGGATCTGAGTCAATTCAAGATCCTTGCATGTAATAATTCCTTTATGACTTCGAAGCTAAATGTTTGCTGTTTACTTTCTCCAGTAATTTAACTGAGAGGAATACTCTCAGTACGTTGTGGCCCTGAGGTGAAGATCTTGCATATGGAGCAGCAAGAGGCAAATCACCTTCCCCTAGGTCATTTCAAAAATTCACATGAGTATCTAAAGCATGCAAAATTATGGGGGCAGGAGATGCATGTCTGAACCTGCTTTCTTTGTATGTTCTGATGTTTAGAGACCATTACTTGGCTCTAGGATACCAAGCTCCAGAAGAAAGACATCAGAAAGAGAAAAAATAAGTAAATAAACACTAAACCAGGGAATTTGAGAGGTGGTAAACAAACACTAAACCAGGGAATTTGAGAGGTGTAATTCATTCCAATTAATTCTAGTCAAATGGCTCTACACCAGTGTAGGCTCTTCTATTACCACAATGCATGGAACTACAGCACCTTTCCCAGCTTCTCAACGTTAAAAGCAACAAAATGAGGAGGAAGAAGACATGAGAGCTTTCCAAAAGGAAATTATTACTGGGAGGTTTCAACGTCTACTCATACTAACAATAGGAATGTCCAGAGGTCATCCAGAGAGCCACTTAATATTTTGTTTGTTAGTTTTACTTTACTCCTGCATGCAAAGCAGAGCTTTCAGCAAGCTGATCACAATAGACCACGAATCCTTTTTCTTATGAAATAATAGTGAATTTAGAACCTGACAGAGGTACAAGCACTGTCCAAATCATTCCTTTCCATATGCAGCCTATTCCTTTTTGTATTTGTTTGTCAACAGCAGATTTGTTGTGCTGCTCACTGTTCTTGTCCTGTTAGTATCTTCATGTTTCTGTAGCTCTTTGTCCAGTTCTTTTCCAAGTTGAGGCAGCTTTAAAACGGACAGGCAAATAATCTACAGAAATGTATCTGATTCATTGCAGAGACAGTAAATAGCTTACCCTCTGCTGCATCTCCTCTGTGCCACTAGTTTGAAACAAGTTGGTACATTTGTAGAGAGCTTTGGAAGGCTACTGGCATTTTGAAAGAGACAGAGAACTCTTGGTTTTTTATGAAAATCCATTCTAATGACATTAACATCTGCTCCTTATTTGAAGAATATTTTTAACTGTTCCCTCCCTGAGAAAATGAAGATGGCACATTTTTTTTTATGTTCTCAGAGAGCAGGCAATCTCTGTTATTTCATTTAAGGTCCGTTCTGAAATGCACCAATGCAGTTCACTGCAGGGAGCTCTGTGTATGAATCTCACAGGACAAAAAGGATCTGCATTCAGCCTCCAATAAGGTTTTACTCTAGGACACTGGCATATGAGCAGGGACTTCATTTCACAGATGAACAACACTTTATGTATTAAATCATATGCAGTAGGTAAAGTTTGGCAACCCATACCCATGAGTAAGACCAAACCCATGGTCTTAGAGTAAATCTCACAAGTACTCATAAAAACAAGGGTATGTACTTCATCAACAAATAACTCTGAACTGTCTCTTTCTATGTACTTTTTTCTCCAGTGCAGTTTTAAATCTTTCAGGTAATGGAGATTCTGCCATTTCCCAGTGGCAAGTCTTCCACCGTCTTACAGGATTTAGTATTAAGAACAGCTATGACATCTATTCTTCTGATTTTTTAACAGTAACCCATAGTTATACCTAAAAACTGTAGCAGTGACAACAATTTTAACATGTCCAGTGAGTAATTCATTCCCAGCTATGTAAGTGGTTATATGTATTGAAATACATACTCAGAATGGAATATATAGTTTTGGGTTTGGACATA